TAAGCAAGTTATTTCCACAGCAGAAGGTAATATCTTCTATAACTGTGATAAATTTACTCTAGTTAGGAATTTTTTTAAGTGATATTCATCATGTATTAAAGGTAGATCTTAGGTATTCCTCTTCTTCATGGTTTAGACAATGGGATAGTATTTAAATATTAGGGTCTATGAGACATTTGATTAAGATCATATGGACTCTGTATTACATTTCCTCTTATTTGTAGCTTAACAACGAATGTTAAAGAGCGAAGGCCATATGAACTTGGGTGAACTCATTTATTAAAAGAAAATGACTCAGATTGGAGCAAAAAAGTCAAACTCCTTAAGAGATGCATCTAAAAAGGGGCCAGCAAATAATTTTTTAGTAAATATTTTAGACTTTGTCGCCATTACAATCTCTGTCTCAACTACTTAGTTTTACTGTTACAGCATGAAAGCAGCCATAGGCAACATGTAAATGAATGAACAAGACAGTGTTCCAGTAAAACTTTATTTACAAAAACAGGCAGTGGGTCAGATTTGTCCTGTAAGCCAGAGTTCGCTGACCTGTGATCTAAAACAGTGCCTCAGAAAACTTGAGAATAAAAGGATGGGCAAAGATCAAACTGGCAAATTCAAATCCAAAAAGTGGGAGTCCAGATATGAGTGTCAGACAAGGTTGAATTCAAGACAAAAAGCATCAATTGAATTGCATTTCCTAATGATAAAGTGTGACAGTCTAGTGGTCGTGAATCTCATACATCAAATAATACAACTTTAAAATTTATAAAATAAGTACAAGGAGAAACAAATCAGGTTATAGTGGGAGATTCTGATTCATCTCTTCCAGCCCTTGGTAGATAGAGCATGGAGGCAAAATAAGTAATAACACAGTGGACGCTTAATAGCATAATGCATGGTATAACAAACAGCATATCCTGGAAATGATGAATACTTCTTTTCAGGAATACCTGTTAGGCCCCAAAGAAAATCATAGTCAAATCCAAAAAGCAGAGATATATGCAGATCATGCTCCTTTTCTTTTTTTCCTTGTGAATTTGTTTTTTATAGTATGTAGAGGATGGGTTGAGAAATAGCTCTTAGGTTATGCCCCACCTGGGAAATGTCCATTCTAATCTTCCTAGGGTAGCTTTTGAAACCTTTTCTTCCAGCTGCTACTCTTGCCAGCAGACTCTAAAGGTCCACTGCTAAATGGTCCACTCCTCCTTGGAAGAGGATTTCCTCTCTTTCTTGGGAACACTCTTGTCTCCTGCCTCCTCAGGGTCACTAACTGTTCCTCTTTGGGGAGGGATTTCTTCCTCTTGGGAAGACTTCCACTGCTAGCTTCTCTTCAAGATCATTACCGGCCAGCTTCTCCTTGGAAAAAGATTTCTTTTCCTTGGGGTTGGTGACAGACAGATGGGCCTTCCATTCCATTCTCCTGAGGAGCATCCTGGGGCTCTTGCTTTTTCTTCTTTTGGGGTCTGACCCTCCCAGGAGGCTGCCGAGGACAGAACATGCTTGCCCGGAGAGCGGGTGTGTGCTCCGTGCGGCAAGTTCTGAGCACCTTTCTCCTTCCACACGCCCCTGCTCCATCCACACCGCTCCGTTTTCTCAGGAGGTGAGGGCAGTTTCTCCAGCTTCCTACTAATTTTAGCAGCCGCTTCCTCTGCCTGAACCATTGCCTGCTTCATCTAGGTTCTTTCGTGGAATTTCCCCAGTCTCATAGAATAGCCGCTCCTCAACTTGTCCTTGAAGCTTCTTCCCAGATACTGTCATAGGCATCTCAGAGATGTAATCATTGGTGAGGCAATACTGCATTTGTTTGCTGTGTATCTGGAGATGTGGTCTTTGTCCTTGGTTGCTGCTTGGCCAGTGAAGGTGGAGTGGAAAATGAGTCCATATTTTGGGGTGTTATCCTTGTCTTCAGGGCTCTGGAAACCTGGTCCCTTTGCTGGCCCCAGGGACTCACACAGACACTAGTCCATGCTCCTTAATCTTAACTAGAACTAAAACAAAGGGAAGCATAGAACTCTACCATTGGAAAAAGTTAGGTAACTCTTGGGTCAAAGGATAAACCCAGATCAGCTAGAAAATACTGAAAATCAGAATGCTGTTAGTACCTATTAGATCTGATTAAAACAGTACTCAGGAAAATTCATAGGTCTAAACAAATTACTAAGCAAGAAAAGAGTGAAAACAAAAGAATTCAGCCCAAGAAGTTAAAAAAGGTAAAATAAATGGAAAGAAAGCAGAAAGCAAAAAATGATAAGTTAGAAAACATACATGGAGGTGCTAATAAATCCAAGAGATTTTGTTTGTTTGTTGGAGGATGTTGGCAAAAATATTTAACAAATAAACTCTTGTTGAGCCCAAAGGGAAAAAAACTCAAATATCACATATATGTGTGGACATACACAGAATATGAGAATGAATCACAGACATTTAGGAAATTAAATGTAAGGTCACATTGCTAAATTCTACGTAGATAAATTCGAAAACCTATTTTGCACAAAAAAGCAGTAGTAGGCACAGACAACCTCCTAAGGAACATTATTAACTACAGTGCTTTTTAACTTGTTCATGAAAATAGGAAAAGACAAAGATTTTCTAAATTATTTTTTGAAAAAAAATTTTTTTGGTGGGAGGAGGTAATTAGGTTTATTTATTTGTTCATACTTTTTTGAGGGAGGTATGTGGGAGTTGAACCCAGGACCTCATGCATGCGAGGCACACGCTCTACCACTGAGCTATACCGTCCCCCCTATTTTTTGAAATATTAACACCCAATTCTGACAAAGCACACACACACAAAACTTTGGACATTCTCAAATACAAAAATCCTAAATATTAGCAAGTGTAACTCAGCCACAGATTAAAAGCATTATACACAATGACCAAGTTGCTTTCATCCCAGGAATGTAAGAAGAGTACAGTATCAGGAAATACCAAATATTAAATATTTTAGTGCATGTTTTAAAAAGTACTAAAGAGAAAAATGATCATTTCCCTAAAAGCTGAAAAAGAATTTGGTAAAATGAACCATCAGTTCTGAGTTTTTTGAAAAAAGGAACAACTCAATAAAATGAGAATTACTTCATACTTCCTTAACATAACACAGAAGTCAGCATTATTTCTGCCATCGACTCAAAGCAGTTCTCATTTAAAGTTAGGCCTAACAGTGGTTGCCATTAATATTGTTCCAGCAGTTCTAGCCAATTCAAATAGGGGAAAAATGCATAAAAATTGGAAAGAAAGGGAAAATCAACAGACTTGACAGATATGATGCCACCTAGGACTATGTCAGAGTAAAAAGTGAACATTACCCTTCATGTGATTTATAAAATATTTTCATACATAGAGATATATATATATAGGCTACTTTTTCATAATGACAATCAAATTGATTATGTAAATTACTTTTTCACTTACTTATATCCAGCCTATTTATTTCCTAAAGTTCATATAGATTTACTTGAACTAATTCATGAAAGATTTATGTTTGCTAGGTGGATGAGCAGGCCAAAGAGAAAGTGAAAAATGAAACAGCATGGGCTTGCGTTGAAATAATTTCCTGTCCTGAAAATTCAGATCTTCAGGGTTGCTAAATTTAAATTTCTAGTCCAACTTTTTTTCCTTACCTCCTAATAAAGTGAAAAGGGAAAGCTCTTATTTTTGTTTTATATTGACATATAATTAGGTTTACTCAGTAATCAATGTGATTTTTATTAACCAAGTTAATACATTTTAGATGTTTTTTTCCTTTCTACTAGGGTAAGTGAAATGCTTCTCAAGGGTAATACAAATTCTCTACCTTTATCATTAGCAGGCAGAACGTAGTAATAAAAAGCATTGACATTTATGAGTAATAACTTCAGTTTGTTCTGTGCTTAACATATTCTTAGGCATGAGACTTAGTGTGTTGCATGCTTTGTATCATTTGATCCTTAGAGCCACCTGATAACATAGCTAGTAATATTATCCCTATTTTACAGATGAGAAAACTGAGGTTAAATGATTTGTTCAAGGTAGCACTAATTACCTTGGCAGGTAGAGGACTTGAGCAGACATACCTTCTGACTCCTTAGGGGTTTATGTATCTTGACATTCACTGGTGTAAGGAATTTCATAATTGGTTTTGTGAAGAAGAGAATGTTTCTTGAGTTTCTCTGTAGCTGATATCTAAGCTATTCATCAGCTGTCTGGGTGATTTTTGAATTGTGGGCAAGGTCGGTGAGACCATAGAGGTTACCTGGGATCCTGACTTGACAGATTAGTTGTATCAGTTTCATTGTAGACTATATGGTGTTATAGTACATAAATGTTACTGCTGGATCTTTTGTGTATAGAGAGATATGAGTATTGTGTGATTTCTTTCGTTTTCTTATTAAACCTCCAAAGACCCATAAGCCATGATTATTGTGCTACTTGGTGTAACTGGGAGCACAGTGTGGTACAGAGCACTGAACTGAATGGTGGAAATGTGACTAGTCTGTGGGCTCAAGAAGTTTATAGTTTGGATGGGATAGACATGGGGGAATATTAGATGAAAATGACTTTTTTAACATGGATTTGTTCTTTTCTATTTCATAGAAACAGTTGTTACAAATTGCCAAATATTTTGCCAACACATCAGAAAAAATGTAGAATTTCTGAGGGAAGTTTTGGGTCTATAGAGCTCATGCCATTGGTATTTTGAAGAGATTTGAGTTCTGAAAATAGGTATAGCATGCAACCATCAGTGATGAAAAAAAAAGATATGCCACCTGAAGACATTTGTTTGGTGGAAGAACTATGCTACTTTGAGGTATTTACAAAACTTAACCAGAGTAAAAATTACTTAGTTCAATTTGGAGTGGTAAGTTAACTTAATATTTTATGTCTCCCATTATTTGAATTCAGTATTGGGATGTTCAAGAATCCATCCCATTAGGAAGGGTGGTACCCTAGTATTTTACTTTCCAGGTGATCAAGCTTTGCTTATTTCTATTTGTTAACTAGGCCTTTTGATATTTTTGTAGACAATCTGCTTCATCTTGATTCTGCAGCATTCCAAACTGTGGTATCCTTGGGGTTCTCTTAACATTGCTATGGTGCAGAAGATTTAAAATCAGGTATGGCTGTGGGGCCAGAAGTCCCTCAGTGAAATTCTCATCTTAAATCTGCCTTATACTCTCTGATTTATCATTTGGGTTTCTTTTTTTTGTGGTGGTCTTTTAGCTGATGTTCACAAGGAATAGAGTCACGTGATGTATGAAGGGAAACATATACACTTCTCTGAGGTTGACAATAAGCCCTTGTGCTCATATAGCCCCAAACTGTGCAAGCAGCGGCGACTCAACGGCTACGCTTTCTGTATCAGACACGTTCTGGAGGACAAGACTGCCCCCTTCAAGCAATGTGAATATGTGGCCAAGTATAACAGCCAGCGCTGCACCAACCCCATCCCCAAATCCGAGGACCGCAGGTGAGAACTGACCATGGGTGGGGATCAGTCTTTGATTTAATTATAATTAGTAGGCCAGAAAGGCTTTTTTTGTTTGTTTTGGTTTGGTTCTGGGGTTTGGGTTTTTTGGGATATGCCGAATTTAAATGTTGAGTTTTGGGGGTAATCTAAAGTAAAGGTTGGAATGCTTCTAAAGAGGAGAGATGGTAGTTTTTAAAAATGGAGTAGTAACTTTGGGGAATTATCAGAAAAATACGTTTAAGTGTTTTCTTTCTTTCTTTCTTTCTTTTTTTTGATTTAGTAGACTTTCTAGGATTAGTTAAAAAATATTTTTTCCTTGAAGCCTTAGTGCTGATATGTTTGGTTTGCAGCCTTAAAAAGTATTTCCTGACTTCTCTACTTAGTTTTGTCACCTGCCTAAATGAGAGAAATTATAGAAACTGTTATAATTAGTGATAGTAATTTTGGAATTTTTAAATCTGTGCTTGAAAGGTGGCAAATGATATGTACTCATTGAAAAAGAATTATTCAAAAGAATAATTACTTAAATCATTCGGAAGATTTCCTTCCTCTCAGACTTATTCTTTTGGTTAAAAAGTGTTCCATATAGACTATATTTACTATAATTTAGAAACTGTATTTTCATAGTAAGGTAGGCTTTATGACTAGAATTAAGAATTTATACTTTGCTGAATTAAAAAAATAAAATGTGGAGGTGTTTTAAAAGGAGGAGTCTTCTGCTGATTGTCTTGCATATCCTTAGGAAAATTCACACTGTATTTCACATAGAAGCTCTCTTTTTTGTCAGTTCTCCAGAAACCATGTTGATCATTGTAGGATATTACAGAGAAATGCATGCTTGTTTTCCAAAACCTTTCAAATACTTAGGTAGAAGGTTTCAACTTTTTATTTCTATCTTTAAAAAATACATATACAGCCTTTATTTTTTCCTGTACATAAGCATATGTCACCTTCATAAATTAATTAAAAAGAAATCGTATATTTTATATGTCATGGTGAGCAATTATTACACTTTTAGGATAAAATAAATAATTTGTGCTGATAAATATCCCACCAAAATGAGTATAGCATAATGTGGTGATTTGGGAATACTCTCTTAGAATGTCTAATGAGTACTTAAGGCCTCAAATTACAATACCTGAAAGTTAGAAACAGCTGCTTAGTGAGGAAGGGAATAAAATTTTAATCTCAGGTGAGAAAGGGACCACTGTATTAGGCTAAGCATGTCTGTCCAGTTGGTTTTAGCTGACTGAAAATAATTTCTTTCCCCTGCCCTTTTTTAACTTGAAGGATGGTGGAACTTGGATTAATTTTTCACTTCAAGATGCATTATAATCACATCGCTACAGTTTTGTCTTAAATTCAGTTTATTCACAGTTGTAATTGTCAACCTTGGATTTTTTTTTAATTGTAGCTGAAGCAGGTATTATCTTAATAGCTAACAGCAGGAAGTAAAGTGAGAGTCACTCTGAATTTCTCCAAAATCCTTATTCTCTGAAGCATATGTTTTTACCTTTACAAGGGAAACGTCTTTTGTGTTGCTATGTCAAGAGAAGCTATGCTTAATCAGTACTAAGTTACATATTTTTTTCAAAATTGGTCTAAGACTGTATGAATGAAAGTGGCATTAATATTTTTATTATTTATAGAGTTGTTTGAGAACAGGTTAAAGTAGACATTAATAGAAGGTAGTATTCTTATACTACCTCAAGAAATCCAGGTTGAATTCATGTAATAGTTTGTTTAAGCCTGTACGTAAATGTAATAGTTACAACTATACTATAGGACATAATGTAGAAAAGATGAATATTCTTTTAAAAATAAGCTTTCATCATTATTAAGGCAGTTACTCCTTGGATACTTAGGGATTTGTTTACTTTTTTTTCTTTTTTCTTTTTGGAGGAGTTACTAGGGATTGAACCTAGGGCCTCGTTCATGCATACTAAGCATGTGCTCTACCACTTTGAGCTATACCCTTCCCCCTTTTGGATACTTAGGGAATTGAAATGGTTTTATGTATTATTTTAGAAAACAAATTCCCAAGGGCTTTTAATTGACAAGATTATCTGTTTGGTGGTCAGCTAGAGGCAGCTTAATAATACCTGGTGTGTTATTTATCTGGTGTGTATTTTAAGTGCTAACTTATGGGATTCCATCTTTTTGATAGTACAGTGTTATATTCAATTAAAGTACTGGTGTAATTAAAGAGTAAAGTCCGTTTTTTAATATACTTGTACAGTGGGAAGTGAAGGTTCATTACTATAGCCTTGGTATCTCAGAGATAAGTGGTTATATTAAGTTGGTTATTTTATATAATATTTTAAGTTGCTATAATTTTACATATTTATTTATTTAGTAGTATTTACCCAGAAATTTTCTTGTTTCCTATATTTATTCTAAAACTGCTTAATTAAGATATAATTCACATACCATACAAGTCACCCATGTGAAGTATACAATTCAGTATTTTTTAGTATATTCACAGGAGTGTACAGCTATCCCCACAGTCTAATTTTATATTTTCATCCTCCCAAAAGAACCCATAGAAGTCAGTTCCCTGTATTCTTTTAGACTAGAAATTCATATTAGCATACTTACTTTAAATGCTGTTCATAACTAAGAAAGCTGTTCTAATTCTAGTTATGAAGAATTTTCCCTTTCAGAAGAGGCAAGATTTTTAAGAGTTCGGGCTAAATGTTGCCGTAGTGCTGCCAGAGTGGCTGGAGTAAGAGAAGAGGGTGGGGTTGAAGGAGGACCAAGTGCAGAGTGGCCTCTGCTGTATTGTGCACCGTAGCACGCAGGGGCCTTGTCACTAGTTCAGGCTGCCTGTGGAAATGAGCAGAAAAGTTCAGCTTCTGAATTAAAAAAAATCCATCACATTTCTCCCCACTAAAAATACTAATCCTTTTGTTAATTTGAAAATGAGTTGAAGGGGTGAGGGTACAGCTCAAGTGGTAGAGCACACGCTTCGCATGCACAGGATCCTGAGTTCAATCCCCAGTACCTCCTCTAAAAATAAGAATAAAAGAAGTAAATAAACCTAGTTACCCCTACCCCCTACACTGAAGAAAAAAAAAAAAAAGAAAATGAGTTGAAAACAACAAAAAGCCATTTACTCTTTATTGGGAAGCTTAATTCAATTACCCCTGAAACCCTTTTTCTCATTGGCAACAGCTTTATGAATCTGTTCTGTTTAAGGTATATGTGGGACTTAGCTCTCCTGTCCCAATTTTAAATAATCCTTTTTAAAATTAAAGTGTGCCTCTGATAGATTTATTTCCAAGACAAACCAACACAACCATGTGTTCCGTTTATTTGGTGAATCTGTTTTTAATAATTATTTAAACTATTTTTTGATGCAGCCCAATGAGTTTGGGGATTGACATTATTTACTTTATTGCCTTTTCCCCCAAAACTGTTCTATGGAGATGTCCCAGATAAGCTGCAGTAAAAATACGTGCCATTTTCAAATAAATTTGGGAAACGCTGCCATATGTTTCCATTTTCCCCCCTGGAGCAAAATGCACATCATCATACAAAATGCTTTGAGAGGTTGTTCTGCAGAAACAAATGGCAAAATTGTTGTCTAATTCTGTTTAAGCTAGTGTTTTCCAAATTTATTTAAGCATGGAATACTGTTTTTATGGCATACTGTGGAACTGCATGAGGAATACCAGTTTGGAAAACACTACTTTTCTACTGGTTAAAAGCCTCCGTAAGTTTTCAGTGTGGTTTATTGGAGTAACATGCATTCTACTTTCTCATTGTGCAGAAGGATTCTATCTATCCTTTCACAGTATTTTTTAAATAGCATTTACATTACAAAAGTAACCTGCTCATTGTTGAAGACTTATTAATAGAGTCTTCATGAGCTTTGATTTTTAGTTCAAATCTCAACTCTGTCACTTTCCATATGGATGGTTTGGGGCAAGTTACTTAATTTCTATAGAAGTTAGTTTCCTCATCTGTATAAAGGGCATTATCTTGGTACCTAGTGTAGGTGGCTATTGAGGAACTCATTTAATCTATAATCACACCAACTAGTTTTATTATTTTATTTTCTTTTATTCTATTTTGTTGTATTTTCTCTGTCTCTGTCTCTGTCTCTCTCTCTCTCTCTGTGTGCGTGCGTGTGTGTGTGTGTGTGTAACACACAGTAGACACTTGACATCTTAAGGGTCATGCCATAAGATCTTTGTGAATCTCCAGATACTTGAATGACATTAGAACATATTTTTTTCTTCCTCCATAAGAGAATTTTCAGTGATCCTTTAGACTCTTGTGTTACTTTGTATGCTATGAATAGAGAATAACAAAGCGATGTTAAGAAGCAATAGCTGGGTGGTTATCCAGGGCCATTCACTATTTGAATGACTTGCTTCTGTCTGGCAGCCTCTTCACATGTGCAATTCATATATTTGCTTTAGCAAAATTGCACAGACTGAGGGTTGCTTGAAAGTAGTGAAAGTTGCATATATTAAATCCACGAATACCAAAGAGTTATTTTAGTTTTGCATTTTTAACATATTAGGATTTACATTTTATGATGTGTAGTTTTCTACTTTTCTTAATATGTATCGTGAACATTTTCCCACGTGTGTATTTTTAAGGTACTGCAACAGCCACTTGCAGGTACTTGGCTTTATCCCGAAAAAAGAGAGGAAGAAAAAGAATGATCCTATAGATGAGGTAAAGGTCAGGCACCAGATGGATACCATGGCCTTCAGCCTGACGGTGCCCACGCTGGCCTTGAAGATGCCCAATGGACTGGATGGAATGTCCCTCTCTCCACCGGGGGCAAGGGTCCCTCTCCACTACCTGGAAACCGAGTTAGAAGACCCCTTTGCTTTCAACGAGGAAGACGATGACCTAAAGAAAGGGGCAACTGTGAGAAAGAAGTTGCAGAGCAAGTTGGCCCAGAATCGGCAGTGCCAGAGAGAGACAGAGATTTTAAAAGTTCGGCAAGAGCACTTTAGTCCCCCTCCTGCACCTTCTCAGCAGCAGCCTCCGCAGCCGCACTCCCGCCTGTCACCTTTGTCCACTTCTTTAAAACCTCCACCGCCACCGCAGGGTTTAGTCTGCAAGTCACCTCAACCTCAGAACACCAGCCTACCAATGCAGGGAGTGGCCCCCACCACGCACACTATAGCACAAGCGAGGCAGTTGTCCCACAAGAGGCCTCTGCCCCTCCTGCCATCCAGTAGGGCTCCCGTCGTGGACCCCCCCAGGACTGACCGGGTCCTTATGAAAGCCACCGCCTTCTCTCCACACTTCTCCTGTATAAGTCGACTGCAGAGACTGGTGAAACTGTGTACCCAGAAACATCAGTTGGACACTGATCTGTTTCCCCATCTAGGTGAGTTACCTATTTTACCGTATCAGATACGCATAATATAACAAAATGTGCTTTTTTGTACAAGGCCTTATTTTCATAACCTTCACTTATGGGATAGGGAGAGACTGCTTGGACAGAGTGGTCCAGTGAAAGTTTCTATATTTAGGTAAACCACCTTAAATATGCCACTGGAGAGGATAATAACTGGTGAAGAAGGTACAGAAGAAATAGAAGCTGGGAATTTAGAATTGCAGCTATGGCTTCTACTAGTGGTTGCGGCAGCAGTATTAAAAGGCACTTGTGTTTGGTTTTGTGACTCTAAGAGCTCAGTACCTGTGTGGCTGATGAAGTCCTCGACACGTCGTATCATAGGACCTTGGAATGATAATAGCATTCTTAATATCTGCCGACAGTTTCTAAAACAAAGACTTTTTAAAAAAAAAATTCTTAAAGCAATACCTGTTGATTTAAAAGTGAAAAAAAAATACAGATGAAACTTTAATGTAGTCACATGTCTATCTTTCCTTTGTTGCTTCTGAGTTTTCTGTTTTACTCAAGAAAACATATCTGACTGCAAGTTTATACAGATATTCTGTATTTTCTATTAATAAGTTGATTGTTTTGGATCATTTAAAGCTTTAACTCACTTGGAGTTTGAATGTGGTGTGAGCTCTGACTCTAACTTTAGGAAAAATTATTTGTATAACATGACAGCAATAGAAAAATGGGAAAAAGATGGGAATAGAGGAAGAAGAAATACAAATGGTCAGTAAAAAAAAATGAAAACCTCAATCCCCGTGACAGGGAACACAAGTTAAAGTAACAGTGAATTACCATCAGTTTGGCAGAAATTATATCCTTTGTTGATGAGGCTATGGGATCTCATACATTGCTGGTGAATAATGTGACAGTATCTACTAATTAAAAGTTTATGTATAGCCAGCAAACTCACTTTTATGACTCTATCCTATGACTAAAACAAATATAGGAAGGTAAGGATATGTGTTCAAGGATGTTGACTGCAACATTGCTTACAATATTAAAAATCTGCCAACGACCTTTATAACCTGTAGGCAACCTTGAGAAAATTATTGTATATATGCATTTTATAAAATATGCAGCTACTAAAACAAAAAAAGAATGAAATCTGTATCTTTTACCTGGATGTGTCCATGGTATATTAACAAGTAGAAAAAAGTGAAGTATTGTACTATCCTAGTTTTGTAAAAATAAATAAACAAGGGACACAGTATCTGCTGATCCAGAAATAGCTAATACATGGGTAGATGTTTGCCTCTTTGGCATGAGCATAGTTAAAGTGTGACTGGATGTACACTGTCAGGCTGGTAACATTGGCTACCATGAGGGGATGGAATTGGACAGGATGTGGTTTTAAGCAGGTAGGATTGATAACTCTTATACAGCTTTAGATTGTTTTACCTGTTATTAAACGATGTATGACTTTTGGTAATTAAAAAGACTAATAAACCATAAAAAATATAGATAAGCAAGTAATAAATTAAAACATCCCAAACTTTATTAATACCCATTTGTTAATACCTTGGTATATTTTTTCAGATAGATAAAATTAAGTTCCTGCTATACATATAGCATTGCATCCTATTTAAAAACTTTTTGTAATGTATTATCAAGTCAGTAATTTTTCATACACAACATAATTTGTCACAGCTGAATTCTTTCTCTAATTTAAATCGTTCCCAGTTAATTTCATTACTAAGTGTTGTAGCTGTATAGCCTCACAGTAAAATAATTACCGTCACATTTAAAATTTTTCCTTCAAATAGATTCCTAGAAGCAGAATTGCTGATTCCATGCTTTTGCACTTTTTAGGAAGGTTTTTGATATGTGTTAACAAATTTTCCATTAGACAGATTTTGCCAATTTACCTTACTTTCAGCAGTGTAAGAGAATGACAGTTTCTCTACATCTATATAGTCCTGGATATTAGATATTATTATTAGTATTTTGCTTTTATGAATTTGATAGAAAATTTGCCTACCTTAGATCAGTGTTTCTTAAATTTTCAACCTTAGAATCCCTTTATTTATACTCCAAAATTACTGAGCACACTGTAGGGATTTTGTGTATGTGAATTACACCTATTGATATGTACTGAATTAGTATTTTTAATTTCTCAGTTTTAACTTGTAATTCATTTAAAAATAACGAACTCACTACATGTTAACATGTTCTTTTTATGAAAAATAACTATGTTTTCTAAAACAAAAACAAATATAATGGGAAGAGCAGCATTGTTTCACGTTGTTTTACAAAATTTTAAGTCTTGTTTACTAGAAGACAGCTAGATATCTGCTTTTGCATTCAGTCTGTCCTGATGGGCGGTATTGGCTAGCAGAGAGAAATATGGCCTTACACATTTGTAGTTAGAAAAGGGAGGAATAATTTAATGGTTTTTTTCCAAGTAATTGTGGATATTCTTAACTGATTCTACACCAAAACTTGACAAGTGGTAGTTTCTTAAAGATTAGTTGCAATGTGGAATCTGAAACTTTATCAAAGGTTTTTACATATTATTACATTAAAATCCATTGATTTACCTTGTACTTTGAATGGGTCTTTTACTCATGCATGATTTTATAATACCATGTTTTGGTCATTTGGAAATACTGGTTTAGTGAGTTACACAGCTGTCGCAAATGTTAACATACTTCATTATATAAAAATTTTAAATCACATTCATTAGTATTAACAGCAACCTTATGAAAAGTCTAATTCTTAGGAGGTTGTCATACTCTGTGATAAATTCAGGTTTTCAAAAAAAAATGAGCTTTCAGGTGGAAATTTGAATGTTATTGGCAACAAATACCCTTCATTGTTTTCCTTGAAAGGTTGGTTTCACTGTGTTCATTTTAGGAAAAATGACTGCCAGATATCCAGGTCTTAGTACCCATAGTTTGTCTGTCAGTCACTCTTTTAAATAAAAATAGTGTTGAATGAAGAAAAAGCAGCTGATTCAGGTCACAACTAAGAGTCCTGCAATTGCCTTCCCTCCAGGCAGCTGCCACACTCTCTCCAGATGCTGCAGAGGCACTTCACGTATTCCTCACTTTTAGTCACACACGATGTCATAAAGACATGCACCCAAGAATCAAGACTTAATGAAATAAATAATCTTTAAGAAACAAGTGCTTTATCAAGGATAGTCTTAAAACTGTTATTTGTTTGTTTTCATTTGACTGCAAGTCATGTTGTGGAACATCTATTGACAACTAGTGCAGTTTTACCCACTGTGGTTTTTTTTAATCATCAGTGCAAATGTCAACACAGTAAAAAAAGGCAAATAAGATCTTAGTATTGTTTTAAAGATAGTGTTGACTTAAGGATTTCCCCTAAAGTGTTTCAGGGATCTTTGGGGATGGTGGGCCATACTTTGATGGAGAACTGCTATCTTAGATTAATAATGTAGTTTTGAATATTTGTTCATATGCTTTTTTTTGGACATACATATTTCTTATTTATTTTGCCTTTTCAATTTTTTATCCATTTTTACTTAAATACCTCTCTTTTTTATTAATAGGTAAGAGCTTTTTATACATATTTCATGTTAGTTGCAAAGCCTCTCTTCCCTCCTATTTGTTATTTGCTTTTACTATCTATTATAAAGGTGTTGGAATTTAGAGGTTAACATTTTTAAAATATTTAATTTATTTATTATTGTACTATTTATTTTATTTTGGCAGTGGTGGGGAGGTAATTAAATTTATTTATTTTTAGAAGAGATACTGGGGATTGAACCCAGGACCTCATGCATGCTAAGCATGCACTCTACCATTTGAGCTATAACTTCCCCCCTCAGAGGTTAACATTTTTTAATGTATTCTCTTTTTTAGGATTTCTTCCTTTTGAATCAGGGTTCCCCACCCCCTTGTTTGGGCTCTCTTCATTCCAAGAGTATATAAATATACTCACCTATATTTTCTTTTTCTAAATGTGTACCTCTTATTCCACCATTTACCCCTATCATCTACTAAATTTTTATTTATGCTTCTATTTATTTCTGGATGCTGGTAATTTTTTAGCTTTTGAAACTATGAAATTTTATGTTATGTTGAGGGCTGATTTTCAGTCCTTTTGAACAGAACTAAAACTTACAGAAAAAGTATGTCTTTTTATTAAAAAAAAAATTCAAGCATATGAGGGACCCAAGTTTTCAAAACAAAGGTTATTTTGGAGAAACCGGAAATTGTGATGCACTATTATGACCAAGCATAGTCTGCACCCATGTCAGCAAAGAATACTTAAAGAAAAGCGCAGTGTTTGATTGGCTTTTATAGTCCTGTCTTGTCTGATGTCTCAATTATTTACATTAAAACTAGTGATAATGAAGCCAAGATCAAAGGTTTGCTTGATTGGACAGTTAATTTTATAACAAGAGAAACACTTCCGTCTTAGTTCTTACGGCTTAGATCTTGACTTTTTCAGAGAAAGCATATGTGCCTTAGTACACATTATTACATTTACAGAAACAATAAAAAATAGCAATTCACGTTCTAATTTTTAAAAGTGCCTTGTGTCACTTTGTGTTCGAAGGATCTCACCTTTCAGCATCCTAAAGCTGATGGTGTTGTGATCACTTACTTGTTTTTTATTTTTTAAATTTAGTTTTTAACAGATTGCTAATTATTTTAGTTACAGAAAGTAACCTTTTAAGATGACCTGGCATTTTGGTTAGTCTTCTTGGAACTAGATTTGGGGTTTCTTTATGCCAGTGGCACTGTTACATAATTTTAAGCATTTATAATTTGCATTTCAGTTAATCTTTTCTTAATTGCCTTATTTGGTACATGTAAACACATTCAAATTATGGAGGAAATCTGTGAGGTCTTTTTTAACTATCCGTGTCTAATGAAAGTGGTCTCTTAATTTTTGTGGGTATCAATGAGGAAGACATAAGAGTATTGGTCATCAGTGTATCTAATTGATGTTTCTTAGTGGTATGAGTATATTAAAGTTATATTGTCCCACACACTGTTGTATGTTAGACTGTGCAACATCAGTATTTATCAAGACTTCTTCAAGATACAAAACTTTTAAAAAGGTAGACCTTTATATTGGAAGCTAACAATTATCCAGTCATTAAAATTAATAGTGTTAACAACATAAGCAAGTACATTCATACTGTATTTCTTCCCTTTCCCCTCTAAGCTTGTTTTTCAAAATGGAGCACAAATGTGACAGCTATTGTTTAAAAGAACTAAAAGAAACCCCCAAACCACGTTAGAAATAAAACACTGCCTACCCTTCCCTCTTCATGTAGGGGTCAAGAGCCTGGGAATGAGTGGGTGCAGTCCTTTCCTCCAGAGGTGTTGGGAGGGTGATGGAGTGTGCCTGCCTTTGACAGTTTATTCTTGGGCCCTTCTTTGTTGTGGTATAGAGTGAGTCCACTGGCACCTTTTTACTTGTCCTAAACATAAGGCTTCTTTTCCTATCGTCTTGAATATGGTTTATGTTTTTCTGACATTATTTTAGTGTATAATGTTTTGATACTTTTACCCCCTTTTTTGACTTGAACTCTCTTTGCTTGTGTTGTCTCTACTCCATTTGTGAAGCATCTGACGAAAGAAGTTCATCCATGGAATATAGCCTTTTTGTTATAATGTCATTAATTTAAGTATGAGTGCATGTCATACCTTCATTATTAATATCTTTGTCCCAGAACAAGGATGAAACTCATCAGGAGGCATTTATTCACACCATGATAGTACTTGTTGTTGGTGTTGGGTAGCTTCTGATCTAAATTTAAAATAAACATGAGTCTTTTCTAACTTGCAACATCATCTCTCTGTCCCAGGTTTAGACTGGTCTGAAGAGAGTGGAGAAGAGCTGGAGGACTCAGAGCAGGCCTCACCCTACCAGGTTGCCTGGTCCATCCGAGAGACCCTCAGATACGGAAGACACACGTGAGTCCTTTTCCTTTTTGTTCTTAAATTCCCACTGTAGTAGATTGATTTCTCCCTGTATATGCTGATTTTAAAATATTCTTGGATGTAATTTTATCATCAATGGAGATAAAATAGATTCCACTTGGGAAGAAATGTACTCTATTATTTGAGGAAAGCTGCTTTTAAGTTTTCTTGGTAAACTTATTTCTGGAACTTTCCCAGTTATCACTAAAGGAACCAATTATAATTAGAATTGAAAGGGACCTTAGAGATTATCCGATTCCATTCCCTCATTTTATAGAGGAAGTCAAGGCCTTGATAAGTTAAGGAACTTGCCTGTGGTCCCGGGGCTCCTTGGAGTCTCACTGCCTGACTTCTTGTCTTCTGTGTTCCTATCCCCATAGTAGCTAGAAATAGTGCATTTTACTTCACCTCTGTCTTCTGCAAGATTGATCCATTCTTTAATATTTTTAATGTGTTAAAATATTTTTCAAAATAATCTCATTAGAAGTTCTTGGCATCTGCCTTATCAGAAAGCTGTAGATTAATGCCCAGCCCCTTCAGTGCTAGTGAGAAAGCTAGTTCTCTTTCAGGGTCTGCCTCAGCATCATCAGGATCTGCTTGGTGCAGTGTGACAGTGCTGACATAGATCCTTGTCTGGGGCCAAAAGATGACTCACAGACTCAGCTAATATTCTTTCTTTCTTTCTTTCTTTTTTAAAGTACGATTTGAATAGATGTTCAGCAAGATAGAGGGGAGACTAGCTATCTGCCCCAGGCCGACTCCTAGAATTTCACAGTATCACTGTATGGATATACATTCTAGGGTCTGTTTTTTTAATTTATAGGCTTACAGTGTGATTCGTTAGTACACCCAGAGGTGATTAGGCTTAGGGAACCGATTCACAGGAGACTAAGATATAAACCAAAATGCCAGTTTATAGTGAGAAATATAATCATTAAGTAGTACGAATGCTCAGAGCAAACTTACATGGGAAGGAAATTGTAGTCAGAAGCTTATTTGGGCATGGAATTAGAGCAGGGAGAGTTATTGGGGTTTATTAATGTCCAGTATCATTGAACTATAATAGCTTGATACATCTGTTTCCACTCTTGGGATTTATATCCCGTGTAGTTGTCCCTGTCTCTCCTGTCTCCTAGCGGGAGGATTGGAGAATGCTATACATCTATTTCTCTCTCAGAGGTTCCATTTTACATGGCATTCATGGCTGTTAACTTAAGGGGGAGAGGTATAGCTCAAGTGGTAGAGCATATGCATAGCATGCGCAAGGTCCTGGATTCAATCCCCAGCACCTCTAAAAATAAATAAATAGACCTAATTAACCCCTTCAAAATTAATTAAATTAAAAAAATAATAATTTAAAAAAAGAAGGACTGTTAACTTACCATTAGCATCTTCTTGCTTTCAGATAGAAGTACAATTGAGCTTAAGCTATCTAAGTTAGAGATGATTTCAATCACGCTTTCTAAGATTGATATTCATATCAGCTTAACTTGACTTGGGATTTAAAAAAAAAATTTTTTTTTCTGGAAGGGGAAGTAATTAGATTTGTTTGTTTGTTTGTTTGTTTTAATGGAGGTGCTGGGGATTGAACCCAGGACCTCGTGCATGCTAAGCACACACTCTACCATTGAGCTATACATTCCCCCCGACTTGGGATATTTTGAATTAGTTTTACAAGTTTCTGTACATGAGGCAACACAAGTAAATATTCAGCACATTTTCATGGAATGTAATTGATAAATGGTATTTATGAATCCTGTTTTAATTCTGAAGATGACCTGAACATCAGTAGTGGGAATATTCGCTCTTGACTAATACAGCTTTTTTTTTTTCCTATATGGCTTTCTATTTAACCAATACTATTTATTGAACACTGTTGTTTTCCACTGCGTCGGAACCCTTGACATTTATGTGTATGTCTATTTGTGCATTTTCTAAACTATTCCCTTGGCCTGGTTGTCTTTGTGCCGATACTTCTAAGTTTAAATTAGCTTATAATAGAGTTTATAGTCTTTTTAAAGAAAGCTTTTGGTTGTATTGATTCTTTTTATTTTCTGTTCTTTATTTCATTACTTTCTGTTATCTTTATTATTTCCTTCTGTTTGTTTTGGGTTTAGTGTTTTGAAGTTTTTAGGGTGATAGCTTGTCAGTTAAATCTGAGATCTTGTTTTCTAACATAAACACTTGGTGCCATACATTTCCCTCTAAACACTTAGCTGCATCCCACAAATTTTTATATGACATGTTTTCATCTTCATTCAATTCACAAAGCTTTCTAATATTCCTTTTGATGTCTTCTTTGATCTATGGGTAATTTAGAAGTGATAATTTAGTTTCCAAGTATTTGAGCATTTCCCAGAAATTGGTTCTTAATTTTATTGTACTGTGATCAGAGATAACACTTAGATTACAGTGTTCTATAAATGTTAATTAGGTCAAGCTGGTTAGTGTTGTTCAAGCCTTCTGTATCTTGGGTGATTTTCTGTCAGCATGTTCTATCAGTTACTGAGAAAAGGAGATTGAAATCTCTATTAAGGAAAATTGCGTATCTTTATTTTTAAACTATCCCTTAATATTATCTCATTTGCTTTGTAGCCAATAAAAACAACAGGTGCTTGGGTGTGGAAGATGGGGTGGGGGCAGTGTTGGTGGAGAGCAGGACCACCAGCCATGGATGAGAGTGTTGTATCCTCGTTCCCAGAGTTTCTTTTGCTGTCTTATTTCTACCATGAGAGTCTGAGCAAGGTCTTTTTTATTATTCAATTTATTAAACCAAAAGACAAAACGAAAAACTCCCCAAAACACTCATTTTCCACTCCTCACCCCCTGCCTTTGCAACCACCAGTCAAGTTTCTGTATCTGTGAGCTTGGTGGGGGTTCTGTTCTATTTGTTTGTTTGTTTAAGATTCCACATATAAGAGAGATCATGCGGTATTTGTCTTTCTCTGTCCCACTTATTTCACTAGCATTATGTCCATCCATGTTGTCACAAATGGCAAAATTTTCTTTTTTTATGACTGAATAATATTTCATTGTATACATGTCCTACAATTTCTTTATCCATTCATCGATGGATGGGCACTTAGGTTGCTTCTACGTCTTGGCTACTGTGAATAATGATGCACTGAACATGGGGGTACTCATATCTCTCTGAGATATTGATTTCATTTCCTTTGAATATATATACCCAGCAGTGAGATTGCTGGATCATATGATAATTCTGTTCTATTTTCAATTTTTTGAGGAACCTCCATGCTGTTTTTCACAATGGCTGCACCAATTTACATCCCCACTAACAGTGTACAAGGATTCCTTTTCTCTACATCCTTGCCAACACGTATTTCTTTTTGATAATAGCCATTCTAACAGGTATGAGGTGATATCTCATTGTGGTTTTGATTTGCATTTTCCTGATGATTAACAACATTAAGCATCTTTTCAGGTACCTATTGGCCATCTGTATGTCTTCTTTGGAAAAATGTCTCTTCAGATCTTCTGTTCATTTTTTAATTGGATTGTTTGCTTTTTTGGATATTGGTTTGTATGAGTTCTTTCACTTTTTCCTTCACACATTTTGTAGTTATGTTATTAGATGCATAAACATTTAAGATTGTTCTGTTCTCTTGATGAAGTGGTCCTTTTATCATTTATAAAATGACCTTCTTTATTCCCAGTAATAGTGTTTGCTCTGAGATCTTACTTTATGGGATATTAATATAGCCACTCGAACTTTCTTTTGGTTACTGTTAGCTTGGTATCTTTTTCAGTACTTTTACTTTTAACATTTTAGTCTTTATATTTAAAGTGCGTTTCTTGTTGGCAGCACATAGATGAGTCTTGTTTTTTTTTTTAATCTACTCTGACAATCTCTGCTTTTTATTTGGGTTATTTAGAACATTTAAATTTAATGTGATTATTGCTAGTATTGGGTTTAAATCTAATCTCTTTTGTTTGTTTTCTATTTGTTCCATTTATTCTTTGTCCTTTTTCCTCTGTTTTTTAAAGTATTTTTTATAATTCCATTTTATTGCCTTTCTTGGCTTATTGGCTGTATTCCTTTGCTTTATTTTTATAGTAGTTGCTTTAGAGTTTACAGAATACATAATTGCCTCAGTCTACCTTCAAGTGTTACACCATTTCATGCGTAAGAACTGTGTATGACAGTATACTTTTGTTTCCCCTTCCCCATCCTTTGTTCTATAGTCATCATACTTTTACTTCTGCATATGTTATAACCCGCCACATTTTCACAGTTTCTAGAGCTCTTTATTCTTTGAGTAGTTCCAGATTTCCATCTGATGTCATTGTCTTCTTACGAGTGGTTTCCTTTAGTATTTCTTGTAATAGTGGTCTTCTGGTGATGAATTCTTCCAGCTTTTATATATTTGAAAATGTTTTTATTTTGTCTTCACTTTAAAAAAGAAATATTTTTTGTTGAGGTATACTTGACTGTGCCTTAATTATTATTTTTTTTCCAGTTCTGACTATGCCTTCATTTTTGAAAGATATTTTGGCTGGCATTAAATAGTAGGTTGAGTTTTTCTTCCAGTACTTGAAGATGTTGCTCACATATCTTGCATTATTTCTGATGAAAAGCAGCTGTCGTTCACATCTTTGGTCAGTGAACATTATGTATCTCTTGTTTTTCTGACTTTTAAGATTTTTCTCTCTTTTTTTTGGCTTTTTATTTTTATTTTTTTTAATTTTATTTTATTGAGTTATAGTCAGTTTCCAATGTTGTGTCAATTTCCAGTGTAGCGCACAATTTTTCAAGATTTTTCTCTTTATTAATAGTTTTAAACAATTTGATATAGTTAGTTTTCTTTATATTTCTTGTGCTTGGGATTTGTTAAGTTTTTTGGATCTGTAGGTTTATAGTTTCCATCAAATTTGAAACAATTTTGGTCAAGTTTTCTTCAATTGTTTTTCTTCCCCTTTATATTTGAGAGACTCTAGTTATATATTTTAGAGTGCTTGAAATTATCCTACAACTT